TACTTTCATGTCAGGATTCGGCCTTTAATCAAAGGATCTTCTCTTTTCAATCGCCAAGAACCCTCAAGCCATTATGACCGAGGTACTCACAAAGACCGAGAAGTACATCAATGGCGAGGAGGCTCTTCACCTAAAGGGAGGGGCATCATCTACAGGCAAAAGAGAAAAAAGGAAAAGAGAGCGTAGCCCAAGGAAAGAAAGGAGACGCGATCGATCCCTGATGAGAGATCGATTTCCCAAAAGAGACAGAGAGCCTTTCCCAAAACGGAGGGGTAACGTCAAAGATCGCCTTGGACCTCTACCTCAGGAATTACAACTTAGTTATGTTCTAGCTCGGCTTCCGCCACTGAATATCTCCATCTCTCAGGTCCTTCATGAGGTCTAGAACGAGAGGTTTGTCAAGTGGCCGCCATGGATGAAATCCGATCCTAGGAGACGAGATCCCACCAAATACTGTAATTTCCACAAAGATACTGGTCATGAGATCGATGATTGCATTTAGCTAAAAAGGGAGATAGAGTACCTGATCTAGAGAGGCCATTTACAACACTATGTAGCTAGAGAAGGAAGAGAAAGGAATGATCGAAATAGAGAGAGAATCGGGTAGCCGTGCCGCCCCCACAATAGCACCAACAGGCCCTTGGCGAAATCAGGGTCATCTCAAGTGGCTTTGCAGGCAGAGGTGAGTCTAGCTCAGCCAGGAAGGCACAGCCGAGAGGGTAAGGTCAGATGACCTTCGTGAGATACAAGCGGTTAGGAATGCCCCGCATAGGGATGTATAAATAACTTTCTCAGATGCCGACCTAGATAGATATCAGCACCCCCATGATGATCCATTGGTGGTAAATGTCATTATCGCAAGTAAGGTTGTCCATCATGTGTTGATCGACAATGGGAGCTCAACAGATATCATCTTCATCTATACCTTTCATCAACTCGGAATAGACAAATCAAAGCTTGAACCAATAAGAACCCAGCTCCTAGGCTTCTCGGGAGAAAATGTCTGACCCATTTGGTCTATCCAACTATTTCTTACCCTAGGGGACGACCCATGCCAAGTTATCACTATAGTTTACTTTTTGGTGGTGGACGCCCCTTCTGCCTACAATGTACTTCTCAGGAAGCCTTCACTCAACTCCACCAAAGCCATCCCATCGACATATCACTTAGTTATGAAGTTCCTTACAAAAAACAGGGTTGGAGTGGTGTGAGGAGATTAACGCCTCGCCAAGGGATGCTATGTAGTGTCTATGAGATAGAGAGAAATAGAATATGTTCAGCTAGAGGACTTGGACATGAGGGACGAAGTGGAAACATGACCAACCCCCTCAGAGTAGTTGGAGCCTGTACAGGTCGATGAAGTCCCCAGGCATGTAGTCTTTACAAGCTCTATGCTGCTCCAAGATATCAAAAACAAGCTCATTCTGTTCTTGAAAGAAAATGCCGACATGTTCACTTGGAAATAGGAGGATATGGAAGAAATCGACCCACGAGTAATTATGCACCGGCTGAGTGTTGACCCGAACAACAAGCTGGTTAGGCAGAAGAGGAGAAGCGTTGCTTCAGAGAGACAGAAAGTGATCAACAAGGAGGTGGTCAAGCTACTGTGAGCAAAGGCAATCAGGGAGGTCGATTACCCGACCTGGTTGGCCAACGTGGTACTAGTCAAGAAGGTAAACGGGAAATGACAGCTCTGAATAGATTTCACTAACCTTAACCGTGCCTTCCCTAAAGACAGCTTTCCCTACCTAGGATCGACTTGATAGTCGACGCCACGGTTGGACATGAGCTTTTCACCTTCATGGACGCCTTTTCGGATTACAACCAGATTAAGATGGATCCTAATGACCAGGAGAAGACCTCGTTCGTCACGGAGCAGGAAATTTTTTGTTATCAGGACATGTCATTCGAATTGAAAAATGTTGAAGCCACCTACCAAAGGTTGGTTAATCGGATGTTTCGAGAAAAGCTTGGATCAACGATGAAAGTTTACATTAATGATATGCTGATTAAGTACCTCAAGTCTGAACTTCACGTCCAGCACCTGAGAGAGTCATTCGAGATCATACGCCAATACAAGATGAAACTGAACCCAGCTAAATGTGCCTTTGGAGTCTTAGTAGGAAAATTTCTAGGGTTCATACTGAATAGAGGGATTGAAGTGAACCCCGAGAAGATAAGAGTGGTTTTGGAAATGAAATCACCCACCACCACCCAAGAAGTGCAGCGCCTCACCGGGAGGATAACGACGCTCAATCGATTTGTCTCACGCTCCAATGACAACTGTCAGCCATTCTTCAAGGTTCTAAAGGCCGCCTTCCAATGGAACAAGAAATGTGAAGAAGCTTTTCAAGCCCTCAAGACCTATTTGACCTCACCAGCTGTACTGGTTAGTCCCCGGGAGGGAGAAGTCTTAACCCTTTATCTTGTCGTATCTGACTTTTTAGTCAGCGCCGCCTTGGTGAAAGACTGAGAAAGATCCTAGCAATCGATCTATTTTTGCAGCAAGGCCCTCAGGAGGCCGAAAAGAAGTATCCTAAGATGGAGAAGCTTGTCTTACCCTCCTCGTGAGGGATATAACCTAGAATACGCTCTGAGATTCAACGCCCAAGCCTCCAACAATGAGGTTGAATACGAGGCTCTTATAGCTGGCCTCAACTTAGCTTTATTGATGGAGGCGTAACAATTCACTATCCACAGCGACTCACAGCTGGTGGTTAGACAAGTGAAAGAAGAGTACGCAGCTCGGGATGACAAAATGGCCTTATATGTGAGAAAAATGCAAAGTTTGCTGAGGAGATTTGTTATAGCCAACCTTGTCCAGGTACCAAGAGAAGCAAATTCCCGAGCCGATGCATTGGCCAATTTGGCTTTAGCTGCTCAGCACGACCTATCCGGTACAACTCCCATTGAGATTTTACTTGAACCTAGTGTCCAACCTGACGAAGACCAAGCCATGCCGGTTGAGGAGACAACTTCGTGGATGGACCTTATCATATCTTACCTACAGGATGGTCTCTTCCCAAATGACAAGAAAGAAGCAGCAAAGTTGAAAAATAAAGTCGCGAGATTCACTATTGTGCAAGGTAAGTTATATAAAAGAGATTTTTCATTTCCATTAATGAGATGTGTTTTGGAAATGGAGGCATATTACATCCTAAGGGAAATCCACGGGGGCATATGTGAAAATCACATTGGAGCTCGAACCCTGGCCGCCAAGGTACTCAAGCAGGGATACTTTTGGTCCACGAATGACCAAAGACGTGAAGAAAATGGTAAAAAAGTGCCAGGCATGCCAGATTCACGAGAACCTACCATATCGTCCCATGGAGCAGCTCACACCTGTTGTCAATCCTTGGCCCTTCTAGCAGTGGGGGCTGGACATCTTAGGGCCCTTGCCAATTGGTGTCGGACCATGCAAATTTACCATAGTCGCAGTAGATTACTTCACAAAGTGGAAGGAAGCTGAAGTACTGACGAAGATAACTGAGCAAAAAGTTAGGAACGTCATTTGGAAGTCGATAATCTGTCGCTTTGGCATTCCCAAAGCCATAGTTTCAAATAATGGAAAGCAGTTCGACAATCTGGGGTTCACAGGATTTTGTGCGGAAATAAGAATCAAAACTACTTCTCGGCACCTACACACCCACAATCCAATGGGCAAGCAGAAGTTACCATACAAACCATTAAATTGGCATTGAAGACAAGGTTGGAAGCCTCTAAGTCAGAATGGGTTGATTATCTCTCAACCGTGTTATGGGCTTATAGAACTACAATACGAATAGCAATGGGGCAGATCCCATTCAGCCTTGCTTATGGAACCGAAGCCATGGCGCTAGTCAAAGTCGGGTTGCGTTCAGCAAGAGCAGAACTCTTCAATCCCAAGCAGAATGAGAGATCCCTGCTCATCATCCTTGACCTCCTAGACAAGAAGAGAGATGAAGCACTATAACGGATATTTTCTTACCAAAGAAATACTGCTAGATACTATAACAGGTGAGTAAGGAAGAGAAACTTCAAGCCAGACAACTTGGTCCTTAAAAAATTGCTCCTAGCGAGACATTTCAAGCTCCCAAAGTTCTAGCCAAGACAAATTTGCACAGTATGAATCCAATAGTTCTTCAAAAGTCGCGAGCTCTTCAGTTGTGCAAAATTGACTAGACTTTTTAGCCTAAGAGCTTTTTCAAGGTTGGAAGAGAGCTTTTCAGCTTGAAAATCCGCGAGCTCTTCAGCTGCACAAAATTGACTATGTTTTTTAGTCTAAGAGTTTTTTCAAGCTCAGAAAGCTGCGAGCTCTTTAATCGCGCAAAATCGACTAGACTTTTCAGCCTAAGAGTTTTTTCAAGCTTGGAAAGCCGCGAGCTCTTCAGCCGCACAAAATTGACTAGGCTTTTCAGTCTAAGAGTTTTTTCAGGCTCGGAAGAGAGCTTTTCAGCTCAGAAAGCCATGAGCTCTTCAACCGAGCAAAATCGACTAGGCTTCTCAGCCTAAGAGTTTTTTCAAGCTCAAAAGGGAGTTTCTCGACTTGAAAACTGCGAGCTCTTCAGCCGCGTAAAATTCGACTAGGCTATTCAAACTACGAGCTTTTTTAACCTCGAAAGATAACTTTTTAGCTAGAAAAAGCTTCTCAGCTTGGTAAAAGAGCTTTTTCAGCGAGAGTTTCCGAAAGAGATCAAAGCCAAACAGTTAGAATCAACAAAGTAAAATTCAGGCAATAAAAGGAAAGAGACAATTTGTATTCATAGGCAAAGTAGTTACTTTGGAAGAGGAGTACAAAACAAGAGAAAATTTAAGCCTCCCCAGCATTCTATTTTAGAATAGAAACCTCCTCTGTCAAACGGGCATTCTCGGCCCTTAGCTCATCTTGCTCTTTCTCAACCATGAAAAATTGTTTCTCGAGACTTGCCTTCCCCATCAAAAACTCCAACTCAACAATTGTAAGCCCCATCTCACTGGAAATGAATCTGATGATCACGACGATAAGACGCCACGTCGGCGCTTCAGCGAGGAAGTGGCAGCATCTCACACGACCTTCTTGGAAAGGAGTCTACATTGAGGAAGAGGGGAGGATCAGGAACAATAGTTGGAAGGACGGTTGGGTTGGGACCAATCTCAAATCGAAAAAGATTCTGAACTATAATAAGCGAGGAGAAGGGAGCCGCCTTGGCGACAGCAAGCTGACAAACCCTGCTAAGCTCGTTTAGGGTCAGACTGTGGCCATCTACACAATACAACCACGATTAAGACTGCATAAAAACTACCAAGCATAGACCTCCCCCCCAGGGCAAAAAAGAAATCCCCAAGGACCTTTATTCGTTTACCTTTGTATAAAAGACGTCCCCAAGAACGGGGAACCTAGGCAAGCTCAGTCTGTGCCTCGAAGGATTCCCAAGAATCCCTAAAAACAAAGAAAAAACGTTGGGTTCATCCCTCTGGTGGGCTAGGGACATCAAGAACGAGTGAAAGCTCAAAGCCACGCCTCCATTTAAAGCGACTAAAATAGGGGCGCATATCAAAGTCGATGCTAAAAAAATACAGGAACTCGACAATGGGGAAAAAATCATCGTAACCTTGCAAACTCTAGAAGATGAAAAAACTGATAAGAGTACCCCACCCCTCAGGGGAGAGTCAAGAAGGGCACAACCCGAAATGGGCAAGAACTCGCACCAATGGCCAGATGGATGGGCAAACGTAGACCCATCTCAAACGTGTTTTCAAAGAAACAAACTTCCCAACGAAGGAGGAAGTTGCAAGGCTCGTCTATCGAAGGAATCCAGATAGTCAAGGCATTAGAAAGGTGATACAGTTTTCTGAACTCTTTTGCCTCCGGAGCAGTAAAGATGGAGGGAAGCCGAAACACTAAGTACCAGGTTACATCGAGCATAGCTTGAGCCCTCTGTTTGAACAAAGGAGTAGGAGAGGAAGCGAGAGACTCTTCAGAAAAATCAGAAATGCAGGAGAGAAGAGACTCAAAGGTATAGGGAGGTAGACAACTGGCGAAGGTGGGCAAGCGACTGTTACACTTCTGCAATCATGGCAGAAGTTAATGAAGACGGCGCACATGGAGGTTAAACAAAGTTAGGTGGGCACGAATAACGAACAAGTTATTGCTCTTCATCTGAATCTGTACACCACAATTTAAAGACATACTATATTAATGGAAAGGAATAGCCAAGCAGAGCTAGCAAATAGCCAAAGTGCCCGGATGCACACAACTCGCAATTACACAGCACGGGATTGTGGAGATCGAGCATAAGGGGCAAAGTAGCAACCATACTCCAATAAGGTCAATACCTCCTTGGAGTAGAGGGCAAGGGGAGAACACAACAAGCAATCAACAATATAAGAAACAAGTTAAGTGTTATTCATTCCACTAAATAAGAAGAGTTACACTTTCAAAAAAAAGAAGAAAACAAACAAAAACCATCAAGGTTGGCTGGCTGGTGAAACAACATTAGAATGGTTGCTAGGAGGAAGGTCAAACTGAGACTTAAATTGATCGAGGTCAAGGTCAGGAAACTGCTCGATCGCCTAATCTGCGAAGTTAAAGAACCCATCTACAAATGCCTTGGTGGCATCCATCCTGGCCTTCTCAATTTCCTTTCGTTGCTCCTCGACCAACCGGCACTAAGCAGCTAAAGAGTAATTTAGGTCGGCAATCACAGCACGAGATTCTCTCAGTTGCACTGTCAAAATTGCCTTGTCGATTTTAAAGGAGATCAACTCGTTTGCTTGGGCATCGAAATCCTACTACAAAGAGGTCAATTCTTCCGATTGGGTTCTCAGTTGTTCCCGCAAAGAGGTCCCGGAAGTGGCAGTGGTGGTCAGCTATCGAAAAACTCAAGCTCTTTGATCGAGAGTAACTTCCAGCTCGGATTCTGTAGCTAAACCCCAGCGCAGGAGCTCGACATTTCGTTGTCGGGCCTCTTGAAGCTCAGCACTCCTCTGACGAGCTTCCTCCCTTAGATGGTGGACCTCTCCTCCAAAGGCACAGACGTGCGTTATCGCCTGAGGCCAAAGAAGGAAATTAAAGCACTACAAAATTGAAACAAGGAAAGTCAAAGAAAAAGACGAACCCTACCTTGAGAAGTGCATGGAGGGCATCTCAACTCCTAGATCAGAAAGGTCGACTAACAGAGCAACGAAGATATACCTGGGGATCAATTTTATAAGCGCTCGATTGCTTAAAGTCACATCGTCCAATAGGCTCCCCTCAAGGTCAACATATGGACCCGGCGTAGCTTGATCCGAGCTGGGACCCACTACCCTAGCAAGGGAAGAACCACGCCAAACTAGCATCTCCTGCCGGGTTGCATGCAACTATGCCCAATGTTGCTTCTTCAGCACTAGATATTGGCTCAAACATCGGCACTTCTTCAACGATGGGCATAGGTTCAAAAACTGACGCTTCAACATCACCGGGTAATGCCTCAGGCGTGGGAGGGAAACTCGGTGTTGGTAAGGCCATTGATGCCTCGGTAATGGTATTTGGAACCTCAGGCTCAACAACTGAGCTCGAGGCTGGGATCAAGTTGTCCTTTGCTAGTCTAACCCTCTTCGCCAAAGATCTTGGGCCCCGAGCTCATCTCCTCTGGCACACCTATTCCATGATCGCATCTCTTTGGTTGGTCAGGTACGCAAGAACTGAACAAGAAAGGCAGTGAGGAAGTAAGCTTGGTTGAACACATCAAAAATAGAATAGTAAGGAAAGAACAACAAATACTCACGATTGCTCGGGATGGAAGTAAGTTTGGGATGCAATAGCTCAGTATAAGAAAAGGGCAACCGAGCTCGAACATGGTTAACCCGAGCTTGTGTCTCGCAAGTCAAGATCGGGTACTCACCTACAACACAAAAGAATAGTGCCATAAGCCAAGTTAGACGCCAACAAGCCTGGTAGGACCAGATTAATAAAGAAAAAACTCATCAAGCCAGGAAAACTCACCAAGGTGACCACGCCTCCCCCAAACTGTGGGAATTCTGACCAGTGACATTATCTGGGGCTCAAACTCCCAGCCTGTCCCAGATATGAAAAAATATCTCCTCCTCCACCCTTTAGGCTCAGGAGGGAGGTTAATAATTGAGATCTCTCCATCTCGTCCTGGAGCAAAGTAATAAAATTCAGACAGTTCCACCGGACGAAAGAAGTTAAGAAACTCTGCAAGGGTCGCTCGAGGATGAGTAAACATCTGCTCCCACAACATAGGGAACGCCAGCAAAATAGTCCACCCAGCTGAAAGTAACATAGCAGAGCAAAAGTCAAAGAAATGCAACACTTCCCTTGCAAATGGAGGAATAAAGAACCGTAGCCCTAGCTAGAAAGGGACTTCAAAAAAGCAGACCCAACCTCTCATGGAAAAATGGTATAAGTTGTGTTCTGCAGCACGAATGACTACCCCACTGAAAAAGGCATAACGATTAGCAATCGTTGAACCTCTTCACTACCGATTTCACTATTTTCGATGTCGGGTTAGACCAATTGCTAGGTGTCATGGTAAGTAGTGAGTGTTCGTGCCATAAAGATAGAGGAAGAAACAAGTTGCAAAAAATGAGCTTTGAAGCAGAAATCAAGAGCAAGAAAAAGAAAGAAACTTTAGCACCAAGGTGGAAGATTCATCCACTGAGGGGACTATTTATAAGGACTTCTAGCCGACGCATATCACATCCGCAGGGTGCCATTAATGCATATAAATCGCGTTTAATGTCATTGACACGTGATCGTCGTAGAGGAAGTGGGCGCTACTTTCAAGGAGCTACTATCATCAATGATGGCCCACGTTCCCAACTGATCAAAAATCGTCAAGTTTGCAGTATACGAAAAGGAATGAAAAAAAGTCTAAAATAGCCTCAGCAAGCAAGATAGCCCCAAACAACTGAAACCATCTCGGTAAAGAGGGAGCTTAACTCGAGGCACCTAGGTCGCAACGCAGCATGAAATAGGCTTTGTTGACCATTACTTTTAAAAGAAATAGAAAATAGAAACGACATACACATGCAAGGAAAAAAAAGTGGGTAGGCAAGAAAGAATACTAAAGCTTCATTAAAAACTAAGAAAGTACATTGAAAAGAGAGCGACAAGTACAGAAGTTTTGTTACAAGCAAAGGAAAGTCAGTCAAAAGAAAAGTCACACCGTAGGCTCTGCTCTCATTAGCTGCACCAGCAACGGTCTCTTTGCTTGCACCAACTTCCTTGGCCCTAAACACCTCGGTCCCAATTGCCTCAACACCGACCTACTTGCCCCTCTCCATAGGTCCAGTTGAGGTTCCCTCGCCAACACTGGCTACGTCAGTCAGTGGCCCCAATAGTCACTTCCGCTATTTTTTTTGGCCAAGTTGTGACACGAAGGAATCCAAATCGAGATCGGGATACACATTCTCAACTTGCTCTTGAAAGTTCATGAACCCTTCACAAAGGCAGTAGCAGTAGCAGTTTTCTTTAGGAGTTCAACGACCATAGCCTTAAGAGATGCCACTTTGGCGTTCGACGCCACCAGCTCGACGTTCTTCTTCGCTAGCTATTTGTTCCTGATCTTCAACTGGTCATCCTTCAACTTGGCAGATTCTTGGTAACAAGTATTCAACTCCTCGTAAATCCTCTTCAGCTCGGCTACCTCGGTAACCAGGACAGCCACCTTTCCTTCAGCAAGGCTTTTTCTTGTTTCTGCAGCCTCAGAAATGTTCCTCGCCTTGACCAGCTCCTGCTCCTTGGCAGTCAACTGAGGCATAAGCCGAACATGGTGAAATTCTATCATTTTCATACACGCCAGTGAGTGACTGAAGAGAGAGATAGGAGTCAATACAAGCAAGAGATGAAAATACGCCAGAAGAAACGCTCACATAAAAGAAGAAATCATAAGGTACCTCAGCCAAGCCCTGGATGACATGCTTAGTCTTCTTCTCAAAGGGAACTCGCTTGGCCAGATTAGAATCCGACTTGGGGACTAGCTCAGCCAGAGCATTCACGGTGGCCTTGGGATCACGGAGGATCCCACTACCTTGAACAGTTGGCTGAGGTAGTATGGGTTACCTCCTCACTTCCTTTGGCAGAGTCAGTTGGGGAAAAAACAGGAGGCCCACTGATGGAGGGGGCTGCTCTAGGGATATCACCTTCTTTGTGGGTTCGGGGGGCATAGAGGAGGAGACAACAACCTCGAGAGAGACCAGATCCTCGCGTTTTTGCTCCAAAGAAGTCAAACACCTGCCCTTCCTTTGGGGGTAACTTAGAGCTCTTCACTAGCCTCCTCCTCTTTTCCTCGTCTTCTCGGCATCAGAAAAAGCCGTCATAATAAGGTCAGGATCCATCTGCTCAGGCAAGTCAGAAGGCAAGGGATCAGAAATATGAGCGGGAGGCACATTGACTGGGGGCCTAAGCTCGTGCCAAGATTCTCCTCGGTTACAAGGTCCAGAAAAGATCTCAAGCCAGAAGCTTCTACCTTGCCTACCCTGGTAGCTTCCTCGGCGTCGAGAGCCAGACAAAAACCTGCAGACAAAATCAAGCGTTAGAATAACGATCAAATGTT